GCTGGTTTCCAAGGAAATCACTTAAACTTCTGTGCAAGGGCTAATGAAGGACATAAAGTCAAAATTGCGATCGTTTGCTTATTACAAGGAGAATTAACTATTTTTTAACGAATTTCAATAAAACTAAGTTTAGATGTAAATATATGTAAATATCGTTGAATTCCATTAATATATTTATGTTTTAGAACGTTTTAACTGTGACCAGTTTTTTTCGTGTACATTCTTTAATCCCTTAAATACCATTTATCGTATTTCGAACCGCGATTTGCTTTGTGTCTCTTGGGGTTATCTTCGATTCCAAATTTTCATTTAGTAGTCATATTAACTATATTACCTCTAAGTCCTACTCTGTACTTGGCTTCATTAGACGGAACGCTACTAAGTTTTCTGACCCGTATACTATGAAATTACTTTATACATCATATGTTCGTTCTCATTTAGAATATGCGGTTGTTGTTTGGAGACCTAGTATCAGCTTTACAGTAATAGAATTGAACGTGTACAAAAAGTATTTCTGAAATTTGCCCTGCGCTTCCTGAGATTTCAGACCCCGATTCCATCGTATGAATCACGCTTATCGCTAATCAATTTAAAAACTTTAAATAACCGTAGGACAGTTCTATCTCTGTCTTTTACACACGGTATCATTAATGGACTTATTGATTGTCCCTACTTACTAAATAGGATTAGTTTCAATATTCCTCGGCGGACCCTTCGCAACTTTTACCCCTTCTACGGGGAGAATCACAAAACCATCTTTGCGAGTAATGCTCCAATTGCGCGAGCTACACGGGATCTTAATCTCATTGCTAACTCGGTAGCTCTTGACTTCTCATTGTCGAAGGGCTCTTTTTTAAATCTTTTGTATACCATTTTCTAGTAAATTTTTCCCATTTTTATTTCTTTTTTATTTATACATATGTAAGTTATTTGCTAGTCTGTAAGAACTTTGTATGTTCATAGGCAATAAATAAATAAATAAAGTAAATAAAACAAAATAAAAAAATATTTTGTTTTTCCTATTGATATTTTATGTCCAAAAGTAGTTAGCTTCAAGTTAATGCAGAGGTAACCACCCTTGACTACATCTAATGCAGTGGTAAACCACCCTTGACTATTTCGCGGCCATCGCCATAGAAATATAATTAGTTTTCATCAAAGAAAATATACAGATAATAAGTGACTTTTAGCTCCTTCCTAATCAACTTAAATATAGCTTACAGTTAGATACGTTTCCTGTAGGGTACCTATAGCAGGGCTGGCGAACCTAAGGCACGCGTGCCATTGATGGCACGCAGCAAACTAATTTGGGCACGGTATTAATTGAGGACCCAATGCCTCAATTACTAGTAGTGGTATTTACTACCTAATCGACACGATTTCTCTTTTTCGTATAAATTGGAGATCAAAGATCTACTCATACCCAAGAAAACAGGTTAAAAGAGGCGAAAATGCAGACAGTAAGCAACAAAATCCACATCAGAAATTCGACTCCTGACTTCTATTGCATCATTCATCAATGAGCTTTGCGCGCAAAGCATGGCTTCGTCTCCCTTGGTGATATAATGGGCGTAGTTCTCAAAAATAATGAACCTCGAAGGTTTGAGGCTTATACGTGGCTTGCAAAATTGGATAATTATATTGCATAGATCTCATTCGCGCTTTTTAGGCTAAACTGAAAGTTATTGGTAAAGATATTGAGGCATATTCATAGTCGAAATAAAGTCTACTCTAAATTTAGTAGCAGCTTTATTGGCAGAGATTACATTGATAATTATGTCAAAAAGCTGCAACTAACTTTAATTTCGCCTTTATTTAGACTATGTATATGCCCCATTGTTTTCAAAAATTGCAAATGTTTGCAAACTTAACAAATATAAAATCAGATTTGAATTTAGATGAAAGACAGATTAAGTCTTTAAAGAGTTTTCTTTCGAAATTAATTCTCTCATCGACTAATTTTCATAGAGGTTTTTTGAATTCATGGAGTTATCGGAAACACTCAAATTTACTATGTATCCTGATGTGATTTCACTTGACAAACTGACCTTGTTTAAATTTGCTAATACTAAGATTTTAGAAACTTGGAATTTAATTCCAGACATTCAAGGCAGAAGCTGGCATTTTCACGCAAGGTACATAGACACATTTCATTCGTTTTTTTTTTTACGATATAAGTGTCAACCAATGTCTCCAAGAACGGTGATAAGTCATGACTTCTTTTTGGCACGTCATAGCTACATTGAAAAATTCTTTGGAAATACAGTATATTTTGCTTAGCTGCCCATTCTTCTTTGCATGAAAACTTGTACGCTTAACCGAAAAAAGCACTTAAACAAATTCTCTTTACTACTTCAATGAGGAAGGATCCAAATCCCTATGAAACGAAGTAATGGAAGACCACTTGCCACGTAGAAATAACTGGAAGCGAAATTTTTTACGAATGGTATCTAATATAATGGTATCTACATAAAGTGATATCTGTTTTCGTTGTTCTGGGAGATGAGCAAAACAAATAAAAAAATTTTAAAATTAGGGTAAGTATAGAGCCAGGCAGGTAACGTAATACTTTCTTTGATAATTGATAATAATTACAAATTTTTAAGGCAGATACCGCTAATTTGCAAGTATGTTGAATGCATCTATCGGTGCAGTTTCCTTATAAATGTTAAAAATATACACACTGTATCAAATCCGCCTCTGTTGCAGATACAAATTCAACCTCACCATCATCAGCATGTTCTCGCTTTAGCAGGTATGTCGGGCAGTTAGATGCTAGAAAGTTGGCATTTAATATTTCTGGGTTCAGACAACACACGCACTTGTCCTCACCTGAGACTTTCAGGGATTTAAGATTTTTCCAAATGGCCTTTGAAGGTAAACTTTCATTAAGCTTACATTGAAGGTATAACTTTTTGGCTTCTCTGGCGCTTGAAGTTACTTTATTTCTTGCAACACGACATTTTTCCCACGATTGAGTACTTCTATCATTTGACCAATTCTTATATGCTTTACTACGCTTCCTAATTAAAGGCAAAACGTCCGACGTAAACCATGGTTTCTTATTACTATGCATTTTCACTTTACACACTGGATGGTTGACTAGTGCATTGAAATGTTGCAACTGTTGTGAATGACCAACACATATTCCAGCTAAGCCCAGCAGCCTCCTTATTTAAGAGATCACGCTTAAAATCTCTAAAAAAAAAACAACTCTTTGCTTGATTTTGCCTATTGAAATTAATGTGTCTTTAGCCTCATCCTTGCAAGGGCTTAACACTCGCACAGAAGGTGTTCGACTATCTCTTTTGAGCCAGAGTCATCTCAACACTGCAGTAAGTTAGTAGGTATCTTTGTTCATTCCTAAGAGAGCTTTGGTCTAAGTGCGTCGTAGGACACCCAGAACTGCCTGGTAATCCTGTACGAGCCTTTACGAGTGGAAATTTTAGGCAATGACATGAAATTTTCGATACGATTCGACTCTCGAAAAACGTCTTGTATTCGACGCAACACTCGCAATGAGGCTGAATATTTTATATTTATTTATGCATTTATTTAATGTCTTCTAACAAATCAGAACAGACATTTAGGAAATTAATACTTAACAACAGCAGTTAGAGTGAATAATAAAAAATATAAATAAAAATACAGCTAGTACAATTGAAATTATGTAGATACTATCAAAAGAAATATTTTAATTGTTAATTGAAATTCGCAAATCTGTACTAAAATAAATTATTAATAATAAAAGGCAATAATATTAAAACATGTGTGATGTATTATTTTGGGTTTTTACATAGAAAATTATTTTTTAGTTGCGTTTGAAATAAATGTTTGGTACCCGAGAAGTTCAAATCTATAAAGTTAGAGAGATAATTAAACTCAGACAACGTCTCTGTCACTTAATGGAAAAATACCGATCAGTCGACAATATTCAATATTCTCCAAATTACAGTATAAAATAACATGCTTTTTAAAATGATCAACCGAAAATGATGTAGTTGGCCAACATTTCAAGAAACTTAATTCCGCTGGGAAGTAAGTAATATATCTCTAATATCAGCCATTGTGGCATAGCTAAGGTTTCTGGCCAAAATACTTTAAGTTTATATATATATATATATATTTGTGTTCAACAACTGGCAATGCTCTTTCACAGTTGCCACAGTTTCCAAACTGTTTTAATGTCAAACCTTTTGTATGAATCTACCGTCAAAGTACCAAAATTTGCCTTAATGAACGCCAAGTCTGTTCGGATTTCTTCAAGCTGTAGCAGTATGTATGTATACTTGCATTGTATCAAGGCGAATTCATATAAGGTGGTAGCAGGTTTATTAAAAACATATGTATGAATGCGCCTTGTTTCCCGAATCTATTGTCTCATTTTCGCCGAAAATATATGAAATGTTGCCAAATATGCACGTAAGTGGAATATATGCAAAAACCAACAAAATTGAAAAAATATGCAAAATAAGCTTTTTCAAGCATATGCATCTTTATCTCGCTAGGTGGAAACTGGGTCGAGATATTTTGAAAACCCCGTTTTTATGGTCCGATTTGGTTCAAAATTAGCGTTTGTAGTTGAAACATGATAAGTCATAATTTCCAAAGAATTTACCTTGAATTGGTGCTGAAGTCAAAATATAAAGTATATTCGATATAACATTCAAAATAAAAAAGGTTTAACATTAGATTTTTTCAGTTTGATATGTTCAATGGTCACGTTCGACATAATGGAAATGCCCATATACACATTTCGCTTGGCCTTCTGTAGCACCACCTTGAAAAACCCCACCCTCTAATATAAAGTCAAGGTAATTTTGTTATATCCGATCGTACTATTTGTCCTGAGCTCTCCATTACTTACGCTATAATATACCGTTGCATTCATTTCGAGATATTAGATCGGCAGCTGACTTTTATGAAAGCACTAATACATACATACTTTATCAAAACGTGTAGACGGTACTAGAATTACATAGAATTAAAATAAGACTTACTTGTTTCTTGTGTCGCTCTCCAAAAGTTGGAGTTTGTAGTAAGAATTTTTATTGCGTTGAATATCTGTTAAGCCGAGAACGATATTATATTTGTCCTTGTTATCCAAATAAACATGGGCAATGTCTTGCAGTCCACTTTCTGGATCAACAGCCAATCCGTCTTTTATTTTCAAAGTCATTGACTTTGCGACGGATTTCGTATAAATACTTTTTGACTTCTTAGGATTATCGTCCCCTTGTGAAATACGCGAGTTGGGATCAGTACCCCAATCACAAAGGGTGGTACTGCTAATATAATTAATTACATTGGCAGAACTACCTCCAACCAAATCTAAGTAATCTATAGGTATCACATGGATTCCAAGCTCTTTCGCCCGTTTCATGCGACTTCCCATACGTTTTACTTCCGCGATTGTTGAAAAAACTGCAGCAGTATGTTCGGTTATATTTGATGTAATATCGCCGCCAAGTTTATTCACACGCATTTTTAGATCTTTTTCGCAATTTTTCTGGCCAATATATGCAAATTTAAAATTATAAAGAGGCGGCCGCTGTCGTTTAACTTTCGGTCTGAAATAATAACAGAGAATAAGCATGTCATAAATTAAAACAAATGAACGTATTTTTATAAAGCAACTCTTTGCATTTTAGTAAAGGGAATGTATGTATTACTTAACTACGAAAAATATATGAAAAAGCGGGATTTTTGTATGGATCTCCACTTTGCGGTTCCAAACATACCAATCCAATGTTACGCAGGGTCAAAGATCACAAAAAACGTTTTTCGCAAAAATCTTATTAACGGTTACTATTTTGTCTTGACTGTACAAATGTCTTTATTCAACGGAATCCAAAATACCCTTAATGGGGAAGGTGCCTCTGCCCGGCTGGTTGAAGTCCTCGGGAAGACAAAGGCTGACATCATCGCCAGCCAAGAAATGTGATGGACGGGGCAAGGAAAAGTAAGTGTGAAGCCTTACGACGTCTACTACAGTTGCCACGTAAAGGAGCACAAATTCGGTGTTGGTAGGAGAGAGACTCCGTCGCCGAGTACTGGCAATCCCCCCGTGGACGAACGTCCAAAGATCTCTTCTATGAGCGCTCGGAGCGTACATACGAGCGCTGCCCCCGCCACGATGTCAAAATCGTGCTCGGCGATATATATGCTAAGGTGGGCAAGGAAGGGATCTTTAGCGCCACTGTCGGAAAATTCAGCCTCCACGACGAAATGTCCGATAACGGACTGAGGCTGTTCGACTTCGCCGGGGCCTGAAACATGGTAAGATGTAGTACTGGGTTCCAGCATAAGAACATCCACCAAGCTACATGGTTGTCTCCAGATCGAAAAACGAGAAACCAAATCGACCATGTTGTGATAAACGCATACCTTATGCTTCCAGCGTTTTAGACGTGCGTACACTCCACCAAACATCACTATATTGTTGCAGCCAAGATACGCAAGCGCCTCTGTGCAGCAAAAAATATGCGCCCAACAATGCAAGGAAAGCTTAACGCCGAAAAGCTGCAATCACAATAGACGGCTTATTTATTGGCCACTCGACTCACACACGTGCTCTCTAAGAGCACTCTTCAACAATCCGACGTACGCGAGCAGTGGAACAACATTTCCCGATCATTAAGTACCGCCGCCGAAGAAGTTGGATTTCAGCGAGCCCGAAAAAACAACTGGTACGATGAGGAATGTCAAGAAGCCTCAAAGAAAAAAGACGCCGCCTATAGGGCCACGCTGCACAGTGTTTCGACTATATGGAGGCAGGTTGAACAAAGTCATGGTGACAGTTGCTAAAAAAAAACCGGTTTGACTTAGAGAGGGAATAGTAAAAGTCATAAGTACCACCTTCTTCACGAACGATACATTTCCAAAAAAATACGGGAATGGGCGCGATACCGACTAATCAGTTTAGTTGCATTTGGCGCTGAACCTATTAAAGAAAGTGTTTCTTTTTCAATTGTAATTATCTAAATGTCGTGGAATATTCAGGTGAAGGTATTTATCATTTATTTGGTATTTTCCTATTTTCTTACCAAAAAATTTACTTTGAAATGTAGATGCTAAAGATTATTAGTAAAAAAAAGTGTGAGTACCGGTCCGTCAGGTCTTGAAATTAGACTAATATTTTAGAGAATTTTATGTAGTGTTCGAATATATAATTTGATCTTTGCGCGCGACTTTGCAAATACATCTAATTTTTGATTTTCAGCTTCTTTTTGCATAATTTAGCGAAAAGAATTTCTCAAACAATGAAAAAATCCCACCAGATATTGGGAAAAAAAGCGAGTATTGACACCTAAGTCATTTTATTGTATAACCTTTGTTTTCTGAGAGTGGAAAGCAGGAAACAAAAATTACCCAAAATTCCATCACATTTAATGACTGGGCCCACATTTTTTGTGAGTTTTGAACGTTATAGTAATCCAATCTTCCCCATATTTTATATTTTTTCTAATAAAATAAAGACTACAAACTAAATTTCATCGAAATCGGATGAAATTTAATGTTTCCGCCCACAAGAGTAGAGGGCGTGGCAATTATTCCATCTTTACAAAAATTCATAATTCTCTATTTCTAAGCAAAACTAGACCACATGTCAAGTTTCAGTGAAATCGGTGCAGGTGTACTATTATTTCCATCTGCCTCCATAAAGTCGAAACACTGTGCGCTGAGATCGGGCGCAACGCGAGCCATGTGGGACCGTTATATGGAACTGAAGAAGGAAGCGAGACGTATTTGCCGCAATAAGGAGATGCCGAAATACGTGAGTGCGAAGAGATTGAGATGCTGGCCGACATGAAAAATGCCCGAAAATTTTACCAGATGGTTAGGCGACTTACGGAAGGTTTCAAGACCAGGGCGAAGAATGGCGACCTAGTGACCTAGTGGAGTCGATGTTCCACCGCCTGACTATGACGAGGTACGAATAGCGATAGCGCGCTTGAAAAACAACAAAGCTGCTGGAGCTGACAGCCTGCCAGCTGAGCTATTCAAGTACGGCGGCGAGGAGTTGATAAGGTGCATGCATTTATGCAAAATATGGTCAGATGAACACATGGCCGACGACTGGAATTTAAGTGTGCTCTACCCAACCCACAAGAAAGGAGATCCCGCCATTCACGCCAACTACCGCGGAATCAGCCTTCTAAGCATAGGTTATAAGGAATTATCGAGTGTATTGTGCGAAAGATTGAACCCCACCGTCAATTCACAATACGCCAAATCTTGGAAAGGCCCGCGAGATAGGATTGACACACACCATCTATTTGTCGATTTCTGAATTTGGTATCCCCGCGAAACTAATACGGCTGTGTAAAATGACGTTGAGCAACAGAACTGAACCGCTCAGGCACAATACTTTACAAGAGCGTACAATTGCTGGCGTATGCCGACGACATCGATATTATAGGTAAAAACACGGGGTACGTCTGTTCTGCCTTCTCGGGATTGGATAGAGAAGCGAAGCGAATGGGTCTGGTTGTGAACGAGGACAAAACGAAGTATCTCCTGTCATCACACAAACAGTCAGAGCATACGCGTCTTGGCCAGTGTTGACAGTTACAAGTTTGAAAAACTAGACGACTTCGTTTATTTGGGATTCAGCTTTAACACCAATAATGATGTCTTGAAATCCAACGGAGAATCACTCTACTTTGGACCGAGTAGGCAATTGAAAAGTAAAGTCCTCTCTCGTAGATCACACTCTATAAGTCACTCACCATGCCTGTGCTGGTGTATGGCGCGGACAAAGAAAACATCTGAAGCGGCTCTTGGAGTTTTCGAGAGAAAGATTCTGCGAAAGATTCACGGACCTTTACGCGTTGGCGATGGCGAATACCGCAGACGATTTAACGATGAGCTGTATGAGCTTTACAATGATATAGACATAGTGCAGCGAATTAAAATTCAGCAGCTCCGCTGGCGTGGCCATGTCGTTCAAATGGACAGAAACGCTCCTGCTCTGAAAGTATTCAACGCGGGCCGCGATTCTGGTAACAGAGGAAGAGGAAGGCCTCCTCAGCGTTGGGAATATGGTAGAGAAGGACTTGGCTTCACTTGGCATTTCCAATTGGCGACAGTTATCACAGAAGAGAAATGAGTTGTATAAACCGAGTTATGTATGAGTACGGGTGCGTTCAGAAATGCATCAAGCCAAAGCAATCACAGTCTTTTATTTCTAAACTATAATTGACTTTCAACAGTGGTTGCGCATATTTGACAGTTCCATCAATTATAGTTTAGAAATAAAAGAGACTGATGCTTTGGCTTGATGAATTTCTGAACGCGCCCTACATATTTATGTATGCTGGCCTACGGCCAATAAAAAAAAAAAATATCCAAACAAGCAACAAAATTCAATTCGTTTTGTTTACAGATCTTCATTACGTTCCAAGGCTACGATTCCGCTGGGGCCTACTGTCTCTAATCCACCATCGAACACAGAGCAATTTGTAGAATCGGACGGTGACGATGAATTAGACCCAGCCGCCAAAGGCACAAAAGTAGCTTCGGAGCCATACATATATAACTACGCAAGTTCACCGAGAAAGGCAAGAACAACCGCCACAGCAGCGGTTGCAAGACACGGCAGCAACAGCAACCGCCACAGCAGCGGATTGTATCGGTATCAATGACAATATGGCCATCCCTAACACGATAGCATATTCTACGACGCAAATGGGCGACGAATATAAATTCGCTGGCAACCCTCTTTCTCTGAAAGTTTTCAACGCGGGCCGCGATTCTGGTAACAGAGGAAGAGGAAGGCCTCCTCAGCGTTGGAAAGACGGTAGAGAAGGACTTGGCTTCACTTGGCATTTCCAATTGGCGTCAGTTAGCACAGAAGAGAAATGACTGGCGTGCACTTTTGGACTCGGCCAAAATCGCTTAGGCGGTTACAACGCCAATAAATAAGAAGAAGAAGGAATGGGCGACGAGTACAAGTTCGCTGGCAACCCCATAGTCGGCCACTTGTTCTTAGACTCGATATCCGGAACGGCCGGAAAGTGAACAGAGTGAATGAAAAAAATAGTGTGGAAGAGGGCATTGCACAGTGGCCAATTTTTCGAAAAAGCTGGCGAAAAGTCGAAGCGTGGTACAATTGTAATCAAACCTTGTGTATTCGTCTTTATTTTGGTTGCTGGTTTTAAATTTCACCACATAATTTCGAAATTCAAAATGGCGGATCGATAATGGCTGCTGTGTACGCTTAAAATAATCAGATTTTTAGCAAAACTAAGGTAGTTAAGTAAAAAAGGTCATGTTTTCGGCTTTTCTGTTATATAATGTGATGTAGCGGTTAGCAATACACGCTATCATTCCGCAGGGACTGGGTTCAAGCCCAATTTCCGACCAACATCAAAAAATAAGAAACAAACAAGTTTTTTGTAATAAAGTCGCCCTTTGGCAGGCAATGGCAAACCCCCGAGTGTATTCAGCCACGAAGAACAGCTTCTCATAAAAATAAAATTTCCGTTCGGATTCGGCGTAAAACTGTTGGTCCCTCCCCTTTGTGCACCAACATCAAGGCGCACGCCACAAATCGGAAGAGAAGCTCGGACAAACACTAACGAGGTCTT